TCATCTGGGAGAGGGCATTCTGAGGTATAAAAACCCACCTTCAGGATGAAGATCCTAGGATTATGCAATTGGAAGAATTCGGTCTCCCCAGTCAGCTCACTAAATACCATTGAAGCATACACCATACAGACAAACTTTTGCACTAAATAATTGTGGATTTATTTTTTTTTCACAAAATACAAAGTTTTGCACCACATTATAGTAGTGTTTTAACAGAGGAAACTCCCAAGGTATTCACTGGGAGAGGGGAGAGTTATACAAGATTGATCTGTATCGTTCTTAATACTAAAGGAAACTGTCATGACAGAGGATGCTGCCCAGGTAGAACATGCAGGTTATTGCTTAGAACTTGCATAAACGTCAAAATGGCACACATACAAAGTATACAAACATTTCAAAAGTTTAATGAAAGTACTGAAAAGACATTTATCCCTTCAAACAAAGCACAATCAGAAACCAAATCGAAGATCCTAGGTTGTATTTTAATTACTGGTACATCTTAGTAACACTGATTTATAAGTTATCTGGTCTTATGTTTTGTAAATAAAACTCTTCAGTCTTATGGAAATAAATTAATAAGCATATTTTGACAATATTATATATTATAGTATCAGAGAAAAATTGTACATATCACTATAGCTAATGCATGTACTGAAGTTTTAAAGTAGCTTTTGCAAATAAAATCGATGTCGAAATGTTATTACAAATTCAAATAACCCCAAAACTTCATAATTTATCCTACTTTTAAGAATATAATCTACACAAAAATTCCTTAAGTAAAAAGCAGACATAATCCTACAGAAACCAATCAAGCAACAAACAAAAATACAGAGCACACTTTATTTACAGCCATATTATTAGGTTCCATTAACCAAAACAGAGCAAATGGCTATAACACACACCAATTGAAGAATTACATAAAAATACAAAGAAAAAAAATGAGATGGTGACTAACAAATTTCCAGCCAGAGGTATAGAGCTAATAAATCTGAGATTTAGAAACAGTTTTAATTATGTTGGTCTTGTGTGCAGGACCTGATATCAAAACTGCTATTCAGGGTGGTTACATGTGAACATTTTCAATGCAAAGAAACCCATAGAAGCCGCCTACTGCAACAGAAAACAATCAAAGTATGACACACTATCTAGAGGGTGAGAGCTGAAGTCTGAACCACAGAGGTACCAGGGCTCAAGTCCCTGGGCGTTGTACTCCCGAGAAACACTAAATATTTATTTAAGACTTCATATACAAGTCGTTTATGTTGAAGACTCAAACAATTCGCCACAAGCCAGACCCTGCCTTCATCAGAACAGCTCTGTTTTGCACCCTCAATACTGTCATGGGGTCTATAAAGAACATTTATATAATTAACACACCTACAATAAATCCCTAGCTGAAACACTTTATAAAACTCTTATTGCTAAACTAGTTTAAGAAAGAGCTTACAGATGTTTCTTAATAAAACCATAATTACTTTTGTTTCACGTTGTAAACAGGTATTATTATATGCTGACTGGCTTCCTGTAGCCTCTTAATAAATTGTGGTTTGTCAGATCTTTATTTATACTTCCTACAATCCTTGTGTCCATAAGAAAACCTGTTTGTAAACTCTGAAACTTGCCACAAGAGATTGAGAAGCATCCAGATGAGTGGGGGTGTTTCAGAAAGAGACACAGAAAGGTCCTGTCATATGGAGAGGGGATACTGAAGCCTGTGGGGCATTAGAGACGAGCAGGCTAGGTGAGCTCAGCAGAAAAAACGACCAATTAAGGAAGAAATAACATCTCTGAAAGGAAAAGCAGTCTTGCTGTCTCCTCCCACTCCGGGTCCTGGAGGATTTTCCCATTTCTGCACATATCATCAGAGTTTTGCATCAGGCTTAGCTTTAACATGAGTGAGTTGTGGTTAAGGCTGGGAGCTGTGTGTGCACATTCAGAGATTCTTCACACAGGAAGATTCTCACTGGTGGCTCACACCTGCCGAGAAACACTCTGCCATATAACAGAATAAAATGTTTCCTTTTGATGAAATCCAAAACACAAGATGCATAATCTTCTATGGAACACTACTGATGCCCATAACTAGGTGGGCTTTTCACCTGCACAGACTGCTAAAGTAATTCAAGCAAGGGAATACATACAAACCAATCATTAGGGTGCTTATTTACATATCTGAAGCTAACAGCAATGCATATCTGCATTGCTGCTAATGGGGTCTTATGGGACAAGTTGATTTTTCTTAAAAATAAAAGGAAAGAAACATGTGTTCGGACGGGACTTTCCCTTTCTGCATTCATGACAAACGATGTTTCCGAATATCTAAGAAATGCCTCTAGGAGTTACGCTGAAACCTCACAAAGAACTTGTCTCCAAATGCCCAAGGCCTCAGAGGAAACAATTAAAAAATCTGACACTTGAACAAAAACTTAGTTAGGCAAATTATTAAAATTCACCCAAGTACCTATAAATTAGGCAATTTTCCAAATCTTATGGACCCAGTTTATCCAAAATACAGCAGGGTATAGTAAAACTTGCCATTATTACTCTTAACACATAACTGGTCCATGAAATAACAAAACAAAACAAAACAAACCTACTTCAAGTTTAAAAAGCCAACATACCAGAGTACTTTGAGTTAATTTCTCTGCTTGCATATGTAACTCTATTTTGAATTTCAAATAGATGCAAACAATCCTCCAAATGATTTTAGACACAACAATGCAAACTCTATGAACCCAAGCTCAAAAAATTTTAAGTCTCACACATAAAATATCGAATGCAGGATCCATGTTCTTGCATGCTATTAGTTGATTTTTGCTCTTTTTTTAAAGTTTATTTTCTAGAATGCTACATATTCAGATTGTCACTAATCTTCTCTAGAAAAATAGAATTGCTTAAAAATTTATACCAATTTGCTTTTATTTTCTATAAATATTTTAAGACTTGTTAAATATCAGAATGCCTAATAGACTCATTGAAATTAATCCATGTAGCCAAAATACTTTTATCTAAAATATCTAGCAAAAATTTGTCATTCAATAAATGAAAATTTCATTGTTTTATTAAATACTATGTTCTGTCTTTATTTGTAATTTAGGTTAATAAATATGATTACAGAACAGCAAAACACAGCCCCAGGGGACGGCTGACTTGTGGCAGTTTGCAGGGCATTTCCGATGCATTTCCTTTCTAGAAAGGACATGGAGAGCTGAATTTCAGATGCTGCAGCTAATAAGGATTACAATGGCAAATCTGGGTTTAATGTTTGATATTCTGAATATACTTATTGGTTCTATCGAGCAATGACAACAGCAACAAAATACAAACGACCCTTTAAACAAGATATAATTATCGCTTCCATGGAGAATTATAACTGTACACTGCCATCACTTTGATGGCGAGTTTAAAATCTGTGTTCAGAACTGTAGCACTATCCAAAGGGCCAAAAATATTTACCTCAAGATTTATTCCTTTCTTAGTGAATTCCCAAAATAGTTTTATAATATAAATGTCTTCTCTCCTTTTTTTTTAAAAAAAGCTCATTTCCTTGTAAAAGAGCCATGAACAATATAAAATCATTTGCATTCCTCTACCTTCACTTTTATACATCAATGCACACTTAAGTGCCTATGATGGAGACAGCACTAAACTTAGCCAGCCATTACCAATGTGGCATCAGCTGCTTTAAAGACAAAGCCCTATCTTTTACCTGACTTTATCTTTCAAAAGTAAATACACCAAGTACAAAACTGACTGATTTTTATCATTTGACTAACTGGAATTTCAATTCCCATCTTTAAACATACTAGAACTTGCCAGACTTTATCTGTATTGGACAATTAAATTAAACTACATTACATTAAATGTTTTGATTACATCCCACTAGTCTCCTAGATGAATAATGAAAGAGTCAAATGTCCTCCTTCAGTCTGAGACGCTAATGGATTAGGTCTTTTGGTTTAGGTTCAGTTAAATTCAAGTATTCACCACTAATTGGATTAAGTCTGTTTCTTAAGAACAATCATTAAAGTCAAGTAATTCAGAAAAAAATAAATAAAGGCAATAATAGCTAAATATATAATTCTATATTTGGATTTCAAGAATTAAAGGAACACACCCCCCACACAGGCATGCACACCCACTATTACTTTTCTCACGTAGAATGACAGTTTTGATAATCAGAATACTTGGGTTAAATCACCTTCCTTCTCTCCTGCTCTTTAAGAAAACAGAAAAGCAAAGATGAACTAAGCAAGCCTGAGTACAATCTCTGAGTAAAGCACACACCCTTGACTTGTCTGCAGTTTTAGTCTCACCAAAGCGAGGCTGATTTCAGGAGCATGTCCAATGCATTCTACAAAAGACTGATGTTCTGGTGTCAGGCTTGGAACCTGGGGAAGATTTTGCGAGAAGAAATATGATCTTCATGGGGAAGTACAAGGAAACGGGAAGGCAGTGGCTGAGGACCTGCTCCTAGGAGTCCTATTAGCCTGAGTGGTCATCTATCGGCATTCATATGCTCCACACGATGGGTCCTAAACCTTGCCTGACTATAAAATTTTCAAAATATAATTGGATAAAGCACTAAAGATAAAAATAAAGCAGCATCGGAAATCATAAAATGCGTAAACTATTTTCAAATACGATAGTATCAACGTGAGAAATATTCCATCGTAACAGATGACTGCATATCCCAATGAAATTGTGTCATTTCTGATGGCCTGGGCAAGGGACATGCTGCTAACTTAGAAATGAAGCCCTGCACAGGCACTGTCATTAGAAAAGAACGGAGAACTGAACTGCTCACAGACTTAAAAGCCGTTCTGATTCCTTCAGCAAAATGATGGTACACAAAGACCACCAACTCGCCAGTCATTTTCCTGCAGAGAATGATCCCAATGTACACTGAGAGTTCAGAAAAGTTTTGCCATTCTACTACAACTTTTATTTAAACCTTTTAATTTCTATTCATGCTTAAAAATACAGAAGGAAAGAAGAAATCCTGGGGTGAAAACAATTTTATTTTCTCTTGAAAGGAGGAAAGAAAACACTGAAACCATGAGTAACAATCCCGCCTACCAGAGCGGCGCAGAAACTCATTCTATCAGACGGCACACAGGAATGAAGATGGCTTATGGAAACAAGGTGTCTGATGCAGCACGCCTTTAATCCAGTTTTCCGTTCTGAAGGCTATCCTTGGCTTTCTCTTGTCTGATGAGAGAGACGACTTTGATGCATCCTTTCGTGATTTTGATCATCCACATGATATTCATCACATCTAAAATAACACACGTAGAGATCCAGACAACCTGGATTACAAATCCAAGCCTGATGTAGGGCTCTGTTCCATACACGGAGTAAACGTAGAAATACATGGGAGGTATCGCAAGGATCCGCACGATGAAGAAGACCACCGTCATAAGGATTCCATTGATGACATTGACTTTGGAAAACTTGGGGTACTTCAGGGCTTCAAAGAACCACCTGATGAGAGGAGCAAAGAGACGCCACAGTTAGTCCGAAGCGTGGGAATCTGCCCTCCTACCTGAGCGTTAGGCTGAAGGAAGCACTCAAGGACCACATAACAACTCATGTGGAGGAACTGGGGAGACCTGTGGATGAATTGCTTTCTGTACAACTGTGGGAACTTGAATTTTGATCCCTGGCACTCAAAAAACCATGTTGGTGTGAAAACGCACTTGTACCACTAGTGCTGGGAGAGGGAGCTGAAAGCAGGCAGATCCTGGGAACTCACTGGCCAGCTCATCTCGCTAGAATGGCAAACACCATGTTCAGTGAGAAACAGTGTCTACAAAGATAAGGTGGAGAAGCAACTAAGGAAAACATCTGGATGTCAACCATATACATGTGTGTGCGTGACCACACCCACATGAAATGATTTATATACAACTGTGTGCATGACCCCACCACAGAATGATTTACAGACATGCATGTGCATGACCGCACCCACACAGAATGATTTAAAGTGCCTTGGAGAGTCAACACACTACAAAAGAACAGCTGGATGAGTCATAATACCTACTTTTGGTAATCTCTGTAAAGCTACACAGTCACGACACACGGTATCATTGAGAGAAACAAACCAGCGTCACAGAATCAGAGATACACACAAATATACTCAAGCAGCTTCTGACTCTGACATTAGGCAGCTCAACAAAAAAAGTATGCCTTTTCCCCACTGTGAAAATATCCATAGGGGTACATAAAATACAAAAGTACAAAACTTCTAGAAAAAAACAAACAGGAAAGTTTGATAAAAGTTTTTAGATATAACACTGAAGTGCAAGTCATGGGGGGGAGGGGTAGGTGGCTAGACATGACTGGTGAGTTGGCAATCTGGACTTTGTTAGAATTAAACATTTGTATTTTGAGGCCAGTAAACAAAACATTGTTTTTATGGTGGCATCTGCCTTCAATCCCAGCACACAGGAGGCAGAGGCAGGCAGATCTCAAGTTCCAGGACAGTCTGGTCAACATAGCAAATGATAGGACAGCCACAGTGTCACAAGGAATCATGTCACAAAAAGCAAACAAATAAAATTTTCACTTTGGAAGAGAATAGCGGGTAAAAATACAACATTAATATGTAATAAAAATACCATATCTAAAATAATACTTAAGGGTTGGAGAGATGGCTCAGTGGTTAAGAGCACTGACTGCTCTTCCAGAGGTCCTGAGTTCAATTCCTACCAACCACGTGGTGGCTCACAACCATCTGTAATGGAATCGGACACCCTCTTCTGGCTTGTCTGAAGACAGTGACAGTGTACTTATATAAAACTATCTGTATCTTCAACAAACATAAATCTTTTAAAAAAAATAAATAATACTTATAGCTTAACAGTATGGAAACAACCCATTTCTAAAATAATTGTAAATATCCCATTACAGAAGAAGATCCAACACATGGGGATGGAGAATGAACGTATTAAAGATACTCAAAGCCCAGAGGCACATGCAGGGGGTTGAGACTGGCTCATACTTGAGCTGGGCAGCTTATGATGAGTCTGGGCAATGTGCTACAGCCCTTTCCCAAAAAACAAATACAGAACCCCCCCCATCATGCTGAAAGATCAAAAACAAACATGTTCAACACTGTCTGTCATTAGGAAAACATCAAGGTGGAGACAGATACAGCCATCTTAGAAGGCAGTCTGGCAGTTATAAATTGACACACAGCACACACCTAGCTTTTCTAACTGATGAAAATACAGTGAGCATACATTGCTATTATAGGAACACCAAGCCTAACCCACTTCAGACAAGTGAATGGTGGTGAAGAGCGAGGAAGATGACAAGGACAGCTCGCCAGGAAGCAAAGATGGAAGTTTTGGGGAAAGTGTGGCAGAAGTGGGTGAGACAGCCACAGCTGGGGAGAACTCTGTGCCACACTAAAACACTTGAATCTCATCCTCCAAGCAGCAAGGCGCTGCCTGTCATTTTCACAGGGAAAGAAGACAGCATGGAGGGCAGAGCGGAGGGAGGTCAGCGGCCTGCAGCCGGGATCACTGACCATTTTCCTCCAACAGGATGAAGTGGACATTCATATCGTAGCTCTGGAGACTGGATACCCTGAGTTCAGCTCTCTGGCTTTGTGAGTGTTAGGTGAAAGCAAGCATGGGAAAGCAAACAATTGTGGGAACCCAGGGAGAACGCACAGCGGCGCCGGCGGCAGCAGCAGCAGCACAACCAGCAGAAGTCTGTCTGTCTGTTCTCAGGCTGCACTGTCCAAAAGAACTTTCTACACCCTGAAAATGTTCTATGGCTATGCTGTCCCATTAGGTAGGCATGCGGCACATGGGATTGAAGAACTGGCTTGGAACCCTTTAGGAAGCTGATGATAACATTGAACTTCTGAGCCTCTGCTTCTAATCCCCACTGCTGAGACTAACAACACAGAAGTGGCCTTAAACCTGCTAAACATCTCCTGGAACAAGTAAGATCAGAATATATGAGACATGGGCAAACAAAGGAAAACTTTGATAAAATGTTAACTATACCTCTCCCATTTCTTCTTTTCTGATTTGCATGGAAAATGACAACGTTCTGTCCCACTACATACAGGAAGGAAGGAAGGAAGGAAGGAAGGAAGGAAGGAAGGAAGGAAGGAAGGAAGGAAGGGGAAGAAGGGGAAGAAGGGGGGAAGGGAAAGAAGGGGAAGGGGAAGAAGGGGAAGGGAAAATGGAAGGGGAAGGGGAAGGATAGATGACAGGCAGGCTAATTACCTGCATACATACTAATATCTGTTATCTCCTGATAAATCGATTAAAGGTATTTATAGCAGGCCAGCCTCCTGTGTGGGATACCTTTAAAAGAATATGGTTGTCTAGGACTGCTTATGACCAACAACCCAGGAAGGTATGGATGTGGTTGACCCTCTCAGGAAACTACAGAAGCTAGTCAACTATCCGAATACTAAGCAAGAGAACTCTTATACCGTCTATGCCAACAATATGAACTACACATATGATCTAAAGACCTCATAGGTAATTTGAAGTGTGTCCAATGCAGAAAGGATGTGGTCGTGTTCATGACCTTGGACATCTCCCTGCTGTGCCCATGCCTCGTGGTTACCAGTATCTGTGAACTCATTTATGAGGCCTCACAGCTCACATGCATCGGATGTGAGTGAGATTCCTGCTCTGTAATATCCCATACTAAATCATAAAAGACTAAACAAAAGCTTCCTGTGGATTTGGGATTTTGACTGAATCTGAATTTCTCAGATTTGGGGAAATGAAAGATGAGGGAACTACAGGAAGAAAGGTGAGAAAGCCCAGAGGTAAGGCAGAGAGCCAAACAAATCAATGCTCAGTAGTCAGAAACAAAGTTGGCAATACATGGAACACATCACAGAGAACTCTGGAAAGTAGACAGACTAGTCGACAGGATGCTGTTTAGTAAGAACACTGGCAGTGAGAGAGGACCACAGGGAAGACGGCTCTGGGGGGCCAGGCACGGAGAGTCTGCAGGCTGCACACAGAACTACAGACGTGGAAAGACAGAGACAGCTCAGCTGCTCAAGCAACAGACCCAACAGACCTTGTTAAATGAAGAGCAATGATGTATTTGTCATAAAAACTTTCTCTGCCACAGATAACAGAGAAGGGAAACGCGTCCTCTCTTCCTTCAGGACCTTGTTGAGAGCAGGCTACAAATCAAGACCTGCTTCCAAAGAACAGAATAGAGAAAAGAAAACATTTCCTAGTGGGGGAACCTGGCAAACTTCACCTTACCCAGGTGACAAGTGCTGATAGTGGCTAGCACAGCAGGAGGAGCGCTTATCTGTACTTTCTTCATGAGAAAAGCACCCGGTGAGCCCAAATTTCCCAATTTATATGAGAAAAATGGCCAGTTCTCAACAAAGAATCTAGGTGAGGAAAATCAAGGCAAGTCAAGAAACCATTGTGGGGTACAGAAAATGACGGAGACACGCTACCAGACTGAGGAGACATCACATCCAGTGTGACACTCTCTGCCAGATCCCAGAACAGAATGAGGAGAGTCTGGAGTCCCTGTGCCCATCAGCAGTCAAAGCTGCAGTTCTGTTTTCACAGCTAGTCTTCGGTTAGATGAGATGTTAACAGGCAAGGAGTGTAATGGTTTAAACACCGAAATGGAAATCCATACTACAAAAATCCTGGACGCAGATAGGGAGGAAGGCTTTGCTGTGTAAGATTCGCAGGAACTTTGAGGATATGGTTACAAAGTAAAGAGAGACAACAGAAATGTGAGCCTGAAACCCTTTAAGCCCTCGCTTGCACGGTCTCCTCGTTTGTGCCATGGTAACAATCATTCATATCAGATTCTCTATCAAAGGTTCAGCATCTTGTTAGAAAAGGTTTCCACAGATTAACATTAAACCACACAACTTCAAAACTGGTAAGATTTGTAACCTACCTCTGGTTTACAAAGGGGCTGGAAAGCTCAGCAAGCAGGCGGAAATTGGCAATGTATGCAAGCACTCCATATTTCTAAATGAGAGACAGAAACAGTGTCAGGGACTTAGCGAAATATACAGAATGTCCTAGACATAGCAGGCATTCCTGAGCATAATCCATCACTATAAAAACAGACCAGGTTTCTGCCTTTTATCATGAAATTAACTCTTCTTTTTTAAACTTTGTTTTTAGGTGTAGGAATGTGAGCTTAAATGTTTGCATGGACACCATATGCATGCCTGCCGCCCTGGGAGACCACAAGGTGTCAGATCCCCAAGATCTGTAGTTGCAGACAGTTGTGGGCCATCACATGGGTGATGGGAACTGAGCCCAGGTCCTCTGGAAGGGCAGCGAGTGTTCTTAACTACTAAACCATCTCTCCAGCCTCCTGATTTCCTCCTTCAGACTGTGGAGATGTGCTTAGAGCTCTGCAGGTGACAAGCAGTAGTCATCTGTCACACACGTAACTTCACTTGGCACTACATGTTCTCCTGGGAAGACAGAAATCCAGCAACTGGCTCACTCTGAGCTAACACACTCTACAAACCATCACAGAATCCTCACACCACTGTAGGAAAAACAATCACACACGTGAAAATTTCTATGGACATACTTTTAGTATCCATTATGAAGAAGAAGGGCTTAAACATCTCAAAAGTGTATTTATCCTAAATAATCTATGGGCAAGTATATATTTGCTAAACACAACTACATGCCAAATCTTGTCTATCATATCTGATCTAGAAATACATACTTGTCAATCAGAAGGTTCTAGAGCTAACACACATACACACATGGGGGGGGAGTCTTTCAAAGTTGAAACATAATATTTAGCATATTCTATCAATTTATTAAGATGGAAAATATAGAAGAATACAGCAAACATTAAAAATTTCTTAGAATTTTATTTACTATACTTTTAAAAATTGCCAAGAGGTAGACTGGTGAGATGGCTCACTTTGATGCCTGGACCACACATGGTGGGAGGTAATTTGTCCTCTGATCTCCACACATATGCCTCCCTACAAACATACCTACACACACACACACACACACACACACACACACAGAGAGAGAGAGAGAGAGAGAGAGAGAGAGAGAGAGAGAGAGAGAGTGTGTGTGTGTGTTTCAAGTCATGCTAAAGTAAAACAACATAAAGCATGAAAAACTGAATTTTTATCTGAAAACTTTTTTACTACTTCTCTACATAATTATTTGGGGTATTTAAAATTCAGCACTTAGCCACAGAACTGCTTTACTGGATCTACTTTTTTTTCCCCTATTTTCAAGTTCATTGTCTTTGGTGACATTGGAATACATGAGTAAGAAAGGAGGAGGGATAGCCAAAAACCAGCAGGCAAGATGAGCCGAGCCCTGTGTGCGACAGAGACAGATGGGCCAACTTGTCACAGTGACCCAGAACACTGGGACCGAAAAAGCAAGTGTGAGATGTCAGGATGTGTGTTTACACACATTCGCACTGAAACCCGTGAACGGTAACAGTGCTGATTAGTAGTTAGTAACGACACTGACTCAGAGGGTTTTCTTTCATTTGTTTGTTGTTTTTCACTTACAGTACTACCACCATTCTTTCCTGTCCTCTGACCTCCATGGAACACTTCAATTTAACAGGGTATATTGTATATATACCCTGTATATACTGTATATATACCCTGTTAATTGCAGCACATTCTAAGAATAATATAAACACAACAGGACAAACTAAAGGTATTACCTAGAATGAGCTTAAACAACTTTCTGCCTCATGTTACAGCAGGATATTTTTCTTTTCTGTTCCCTTCTTCAGTAACAGTTCTTCCTTACCCATGACAACCTGCAGCCTAGGGCAGGGGGACTTTTTTTTAAACACAGTGTGTAAAACCACTACAATGAAGCCTGAGCTCTGCTTTGACTTGTGTGTCAGCTCTTCACCCAGCTGTGTCCAGTGAGTGTCCATCCATTATGACAAGCCCCAGTCACATGTTCTCCCAACAACGATGCTAGGGTATAAAAATATGTTCTGATCGCAACAGCAGGCTTTTAGAATTATATATAGAAAGTAAATTTCTGGTACCCCAGAAACATCTAGTACTCTGTACCTAAAATCTTATTTTAAGACCAGCTGCTGTCAGTAGGTTCTCTTTGCAGGTAGAAGCTCATCCTTTACACTGCCCACGCTCAAACAGGCATTGTGAGTTCACACTCAGAAGTCCCCTGGACTCCCTGAAAAGTTACGACAGTTGATGGGGCTGCCGTTTTCTGGTAAATTCTGTTGTTTTCAGGACGGTGTCTGACACAGCTCATGCTGACTCTGGACTCCCTACATCACCAGAGATGACTCTGAACCTGATCTTCTCAGCTCCACCTCCTGCCTCCACCATAACTGATACTAAGTGTTGCTATAAAACCCAGAGCTTTCTGCTTGCCAGACAGGCACTGGACCACTGAGCTGCATTTCCATCCCCTACTTTGTATTTAAGTTTTGAAGCTACCTTGTTTCTGAAAGCTGAGTAACTACTTCATTGTATGATTTTTTTTTTCTTGCAACCAACCTATAACACCAAACAACTCTGATGGTCCCCTCCTGTGACCTCCTCCAAAGTCAAGGCATTCTGAGAAACTGTCCACAAATATTTGCCTTAGTATACACTATGTTCTGCATTTCATCCTCAACTTATTAATAATTAAAGCAAGCCGCCCTTGTTACAACTCAGAAAATATAAGTTTGTAGCAGCTGGCTTTTCAACATCTTTGGGAGATGAATCATGGCTGTCTTGTAGGCATGTGTCTTCAGAGGCTCTTATCCTCGCACAAAGTTAATCTTTTAATTAAGAGGTTCTGCAGGTTTTGATGAAATTTAAACATGATCGAATTTATAAAATCCTCAGTATCAGAAGCCGTTTACAAGGAACTTAGCAGGTAATCTCTTTCCTCACCTTTGGCAAGACATTTACACACAAACATTGGCCAAAACGTGTGCATGTGTTCCCCGTCAGATACACAGATGAGCATCTCCTCATCTGCGTGTTAACAATGCGCCACCATGTCTAAAAGTTCAGCTTGAAATTCTGTTTTTCAAAAAGTACCTCAAAGTGGGGTTAGGCACTTTCTGTTGCCATGACTCAAAGTGTCAAGTGACTACAGAGGAGTCTGATCGCTGCTCCCATAGGCAAGAGTCAGGTCTATGTAAATAAGAGGTCAAAATATCTTTTCAACTCCACGATCCTCCTCCCCTTAACCATTCTGTCAATGGAGAAATCTGAGTTACAGCCCTGGAACTAAGAAATGCAAGTTTAGCAGGGCAGTGGTGGCGTACGCCTTTAATCCCAGCACTTGGAAGGCAGAGGCAGGCAGGTTTCTGAGTTCGAAGCCAGCTTGGTCTACAGAGTGAGTTCCAGGACAGCCAGGACTACACAGAAAAACTCTGTCTCGAAAAACCAAAAAAAAAGAAAAAAAAAAAAGAAATGCAAGTTTATTCAATTTCATGGAGCATCAAGAGGAAAATACGATGTGTGTGATCATACAGTAACTAAGCTAACTCAAGGCCTGCTGCTTTCAACTGAGCATCCATGTCTTTCTGGAAGATGAAGAAGTACAGCTTGATTCAGGTGTAGCTGCCCATTTCATCCTAGACTTGTGAAATCCCATGAGCTTCTATGCCTTTACAACTCCTCTACTAAAACTGGGTTGATTTGGAGAGCCGTAACCAAGAACTAAGTGCTAGGTGAAGGATAAGAGAATACATCACAGTTCTAGAAGCCAGAAGTCCAGGGTGAAGGTGTAAACAGGCATGCCTCTGAAGGCCAAGGAATTCTCTACTCCACCCTTGCTGCCAGTCTGATGGTTCTAACCATATTCACCCCAAGTGCAAATCCTCCACAGTGTAAGAAAACGTGAGGCCTTCTAAATTCTCTCCTCAACAAAATCTTCACTTTCTCATTTGGAGTCCAGCAGCTCTGAAGTATGGTGCCTTGAGCAAAGGGTCTGGGAACTCACTAGATACACATAGTCCTTTTTTACAAAGTATTGTGTGTGACAGATCGCTGTGTGGGGGTGCACGTGGCAGGGAGGATGTATGAGGACAACTCTGTAGCACCTGGAGATGGAATTCAGGTCCCAGGATGCAAGCGTCTCTGCCTACTGAGCCAACAGAGTGGCCACTCTTTTCTGTAATGTTTATGTGCCTATGCATGTTTCCTGTGGATGCATATGCACTTGCCTATGCATGTCCCAGAGGCAGATGTCGTCAGCTTCCGTTGCTGCCTTACTTCTTCAGACAGGTTCCTTCACTAAACTTAGAGTTTGCCTTCTGAGATTGGGTTCTCTCCCTCCTCCAACACTGGAGGTGCAGACGCACACTGCCAAGTCAGGCTTTTGCACGGGTACTGGGGATTCAAACTCAGGTCCCAGCAAGTACTTTGCACTGAGCCATCTCTGCAAGCCTAGACATGCATTATTCTGAGTCTCATCACAAACGTACCAACTCTGCAACCTTGGAGCTGCGGATCAGTAATCTAGGTTTTCACAGGGTTGCAGGTGATTCCAGCACAGAGCAAACTGAGCAGTGTCTGAGGCCTTTATGTCTCAAGGAGCTAACTCTCTTTGCTGTGGTTGACGATCACCTACAAACACCTCCAGCATATGTTCCAGGAGTCTCTCGTACACTTCCTCTAGAAAAGTTAGGTCAGTTTCTCCACAGATCTGTTTGCCTGCTACAGGCCCAACACTTGCCAAGGACCTAAAGCCTGACAGTACCTTTCTGACTGTTATATCCACAAAGATTGGCGCAGCAGTTGACCCATTTTTCCTGAGCTGAATCTTGTCTTAAATAGGAGCCTCACCTCTGAGGCCAAGAGCTTATTCACCTCTGAAGAAAAGCCGACTAGAAGCATAAACCCTAGCATGATATCTAAAACTGGCCAACCACAATGGGAACAATCACTGAAAATGGACACTGTGAATTCCCTCTCTCTGCACATGCAAGCTCCTCTCAGCAAGTGTTGAAGTCTCCTTCCTCCTCTCTGAAGCTGGGT